ATTTCTCTGAAATAAAAATCTATCTATATTAATATGGGCGATCCCGTTACCTTTAATCATTTGTGAATTTATCTGATAGGTAGTTTGACACATCTCATACGACGCACAGACCCTCATTCTATGTCAAAATAAGCTTAATCGTTTTTATACAACAACAAACAGATGCCTTTTTAACACAAATTATATCTGGTTTATTCCCGCCTTCTCCTTTACCGATCACGTATATGAGAGGAAAAAGAATTTCGTTCTAAAAGTAATTAATTCGTCGCTTCATTAGCGGAGCAAGTACCAAAGGTGCTATGAATTCGCACACAAAACAACATTTTAGTTGGGCAAATATATTGCTATTAATGAATTAGCATCTGGATAATTAAATATAAAATGAAACGTGACTTGTTTGTGGTTCGCCGCAATTCGATTAAACACCTGTGTCGTAATCCCCAAATGTAGATCTACACACCCGAAATAGATAATGTGACATACGATTTTCATCCGATTGGACAAATATACGCGTTTAAAATTTCATTAATATTAACCTTGTGCATTTGTCCAAGTTTGTATAGGTTGCAAAATTTACGCAAGTCAAACGACCCATTCAGCTGGCTAAACGATCTTAATGAACCATGGATGAGAAAACTTATAACGGAATTCATAGACCCTTTCAAGTACTATTAAGTGGTTGTTCAGATACGGTCTAATGCAAAAAACGTATTTATTAACCTTATTTTTACATAAACACCGGGAAATAGTAACTCCGTACGGCCCAACGGGAAAGATGATAACACTATCTCAATTTTTCGTCCGATCTTGGCGATTACAGTATGGGACAGCAAGATCATAGAAATGGAGGAGAACTTGCTTGCTCGCCTAACCACGGTAAACCTCACATTTCGGTTCGGAAAGGGAGGATTTTGAGATATTTCTTCGGGGCAACAATTCGTTGCGGGACAGCAGAAGTGAGACAGATGAGAGAACAGATATACGAAACGAACAAACTAGTAGCAATGACAAGAGTGAAAATAATGCCAACATAGTTCTCGAGTGTTCCAACCACGAAAAAGTTAAAGAGCTGTGGGGAAATTGTTCCGAGACAGTACCTTGGTATGCTCTACATGGACAAAAAAACCCGCGGAAACGCCGTGCCATCTTGTATTCCCAAACGATGAACCTAAGAACAAAGAAGACAGTTCTTCCGTGTGCCCAGTGTCAGATGGTGCAAAATTCGATAAATTATCGTGCACTAATTCTCCCATTTTAGTTGAAATATTAAGTGAATCTGATGGTTGTCGTGTGGCGATTTCTCTTTGCCTCGATCTCCAAACCGAAGATCCTGAAGAAATACTAAGATGGAGCTTCAGTGTTACGTAATGGATGTTAAACAGTTTGGTTTTAATCATATTATTATCGGAAAACGTTATTGTGGAATGCTTTTTATGGATTGTTTTGGTCGCGTATTTGATTGGGATTCAGATGGTCATGCATTATGGTATCTCGGGGATTATTTCGAAGTTATATCAAAGAAGGAATCTGAAACGATCGGACAGCATGGGACGTTTTAAAGGACGGAACTGTGTTTGTGCTACATAAATGTATGTGCGTATATATTTTGCTCACATTTTACCTTAATCCTTTATAACTTTTTCTTCTTTCAGATGTGCCAGGAGAATTCGACATTTCCTCAATCGTGGACGATACAAAAAAGAAGACGAAAAAGAAAAGGCGTCATTGACTTTGGTAAAAAGTCAGTTACACAGATAGTCAGTTAGTTTGCTTTTTATGCTTTTGTTGCAATTCTATCTCTTTCTCAATGGCGTATCGAATCTTGGATGAGCGCTTGTTTAATCAGAAATGACACCTTTTTATATAATTTCAAACCAGAATTAACACTTAATGTTAACATCTTGGATAAAACGTGGTATAATATGCCAGAATAAGAAGAAATTATTGAAACTCCATTTAGCTTTAACAGCATTTTTAAAACCATTTATTTTTATTGGAAAAAATTGTTGAAGTTGTCATAATAATAAATATGATGGTAGTTGAGTATGAGTGGCATAGTAATTGGATTCACAGCTTGTATTTTATACTTGACATGACAAGTGGTGACACTGATTAGTCCAGTATAGACGCTATTGGGTAACCGATCGAAAAGACTCTGTAAAGAGCATAATATAATGTCACTGGGAAATAATTTTATTGTACTAACATAACATTTATTCGGGTGTGTCGAATGCTTTTGTGCAATCAATCCATTCAAATACTTTGTTCCGATATAAACAAGAAAACATTAATAATTAGAATAAACGTATTCATGATACAGCAGGCCATCCAAGGCCATGGAGAATCGTAATATTGGGATAAGGAGAAAACAAATTAAACACAGAGGCATAATATGGGAAAGATGATAGCATCAGATTTAACGACACAACTGCTTTTATACTGGCTACATAGGATCTCTTCGGTAAAGGAAAGGCTCTAGTCTTCCTAGAATTAACAGCTAGTAATGATTTGATTATTCTGTACGTAATTAACTAACTCTTAGTAATATGATACTTGACAAAAGTCGAAATAAACAATTTCGTCCTCATTTTCGATTTGCGCTATAATTAAGGCATGACAAGTATTTTAAAGTTTTGCCAGTACGCAACTGCTTTTCATAATTAATTTATCTATCTATCCTATCGCTCATTACTCCTCTTCCATCTCAAACTCTTCAAAGTCGTTATTATCATAGTCAGTGCTCATTAAATATCGAGAAATGCCAATAGTTATTTTATACATACCAGACCAGACCTGTTAATGAGCATGGCTAACTCCTCACCTGGTAAAAGAATCTCTTGGCAAACGTGATATTAACATATTCGAGATACTTGTCTCGTATTGTCAAGTGATTTGGTTAACATCGAATGAGGGCAGCAGGCTGCCGATTAAGTGGGCCTTTGTGGAATTTACGTGCTTCAAATTGATAAATTGAATGAATGATAGGAACGATATTAATTTCTGTGAGTGGTCAGTCGTCATATTGGAGGGAACGTGAATATAGTTGTAGATATTGTGTTTCTGCTAGTTTTCTCTATAAGTGAGCCAGTAGTGAGAAGTTATAAAAGTGGGCGCTCTAGTTTTTCGTGACCTTGATGCTCGAATCACCGAGAATTAGACGTTTAATGATTGGTTTTCCCAATGTGATGTTATCGAATATCGCAAAAGTCAGATTTAAGTTGTGAACACTTGTCTCATGAGAAAACTTACTGTGATGTGGAATCGCTTTCTTCAACTAAGCGGACTTGGTTTTTCTATTATCGTATGGTTCAAACGTGGCATCAACTATGCCTGTTTTAGACAAAGATCAACGCAACGTAAATGCTCTTGATAAATTAAAATTTAAGTTTCAGACTAATCCAAAATTAGTTGAGTGAATGGATGATATGGATAAGTTTCTCGTAACGAGCCAGAGCACTGACGTGAACGAAGGTATCGATGAAATATAATGAGCAGACTAATTGGTCGATAAAAGCGGCCCAAGGTTAGATTGAAAATCTTTTTGACGACTTACAAATGGCCTGACCAAATCTGCTTGCAAAACTGCTAGTAAACGTAGCAAAGGTTTCTTGTGACGAAATCATCAAATGCGAATACAGGAAATAAACCACCTTTATTTTGGTTGATTAAGTAACATATATTTATAGTCATTTCGACAAAATTCACAAGAGTATATCATACATGCGGTGCCGAATCAATAATAGCTTAAACTCTACAGAGAGATACGGCAAATATTTGATATTATTCGGGATATTCCAGCATTTTTGTCTTGGCAGCATAAGTGCAGAACTAGAACGGGATTTAATGCGTGTATTAGTACCAATTTGTGCAAAAGAGCTCATCCATTAGAGAGAAGTGCAAATTTTACCCTACCTCATCAAAAAGAATATATCCTCCATGGTTCGTGTCGATTTCATCGAAAGCCGCCTTAAGTACTTTATCCGAACGTCCCTTTATTCCCATGAGGTCGTGTCCTTTCTTGAACTCGACGTAGCTGATACGTCTGTCGCCATCTATATCAAGTTGTTGGAATTTCTTGTATAGTTCGTGGTAGTAATGGAGAAGGTCGATGAGACGTCCGAATTCGTTGAGATCGATAAATCCATCCTAATGAGACGTTCAAATATTAGAGAGTGAATTCGACAAGTAGAATAAGAGTTACTTGTAGGGAGAGTAGCGTACCTTTGAGGTGTCAGCAGCTTTGTAAGCTCGCATGATGGCAGGTTTGTCTTTCGCCAGATGCGGGTAAAGTTCAATCACCGCTCTGTCAATTTCAGCAAGAGACAAGATACCATTACCATTATAGTCAAAGACGTCAAAAACCTACCGCAGTAAGTAAAGTCGAAAGTCAGTCAGTCAGCCCCGAGTAATGAGAATTGACACTTGGAAATCAAAAAAGCGGTTGCTTTGCAGATTACCTTTTTAATTTCCGCTCTATCGAGTTTTTGAGACATGTTTTTTCGGTAGTGAGTTTTTTTTTTTTTTGGGTGGAAGATGTGAGGTGATTTTTAAATTCTTTTGAATGCTCATGTGGTGTTACGTAAAGTAGTACTCGATCGAGACAGTTAGGCTATAATCGTACAACACGTCTTTGTCGCACTTGCGCAGAATCACATGTACGACGATTTTTCTTTCTCTTGCAGAGAGAATAAAGGAAAATCGAAGAACTTTCTAGTACAAAACAAACGAAAGACATTCTTTTCAACACACAGCATTGACGTTCTATTAGGCATACAAACGTTGGAGATTACTCGGAATATAGCGAAGAAGAGGGCGGATGTAATACACATTGTACACAGCCCATGCAGTGCAGATGTTCGTACAACCGTAACAAAAGATGGTCATTTTCAAATGACATGTAAAGTGAAAGACGTATATCAACATGATTTAGCCTGTGATACAGTCTCACGTAGAGGATCCAACCTTTCTTCAGGTTGCTATATCATTTAGAGCGAAATAATAATAATTCCAACAATGTCGCATATACTATGCGGGGCGTTTTGTCAAAGAACAAACGCCTGTAACGGTAATCATTGAACGACCCAAATTTGTTTAGGATAGTTAGTGATGATTGGGTCGTTTATATTGATAAGTCGTAGTGCCGCAGCGGGTTCATTCAACACTAAAATGGTTCATGTTTTGGTAAATCTTTGGGTAACAGTACCAAACCATCAAACTTTTCAGTCGATACTAAGACGGATATTCAGCTATGAATCAAGTAATTATTAGTAATACGCAGGCACTGTTTATGAATATATTAACAACGTGTTTATGGATATATGAGAATCGTTGATTATTCATAGTTGCTAGCGTGAAAAAATCGCTGTTCCTTGGCGGTGTAAACTTTATTCTGAAAAGTACATTCATTATGGTGTTGTGTACCAACCATACCTTTGTTTAAGGTGTTACCCAGACAAATAACAGAGCGCCAAACAGGTTTGTAAAGGGTACTACAAACTGGTAACAATAGTAGTATTCAACAAAGATTATGCTGTACCTTAGTCTGGGACCCTTCGAAATATTTTCGGGTACTTGATATACAGGATCCATTGCGGTATACACTCGTACCCCGTTTATATCCCCTAAATTTATAAAAAAAAATGTCCTTATACGATAGATGTACATTTATATCCCCAACCCCGTTTATATCCCCCCACTTTGAGAGGGAGATATAAACGGGGTACGATTGTGTTAATAATACTCTATAAGGTTTAAATATAAACCGGACCACAACGCTTTCTTGGGAATATATCCGAAGCGAGCAGACAACTTGTGTAATATACACCATAACATTCTATTAGCCAGGCATTTTCATTTGGGCATATTAATATAAACGATGGATTCTGGCATTGACCATGAAAATAGAATAGTATTAATCTAAGTGTCTCGTTTATAGGAATGTAATTTGTCTAAGAGATATACAAGACACTTTCGTAATTATAATATAAAATAGTAGGTTGTTATAGGTCATGGGAAATTGGTACCATAGCAATATACCTGAGCAGGAGAGCTGTGAATATACAACAGGTAAACTTATAAAACTGAGTGAGTGTATGACGTACTACAAGACAAGTTTACTATTACTTTGTCTGAGTCTGTCGCATGTTTGTTTAAACTAAAGTAATAGTGAACATTGTAATTGACCATAAGCTGATGTGGCTGAAACATTAGCTAATGTTAATGTAGCTGATAATTCTCAAGTTTGGTATTATTATTATTATTAGTGGCACAGCTATAGCTCCTGAACTGATGTGGCAGATGTGGAATGGTATTGCTACTTAATTTATACTCATTATAATGATAATGATAATGTGTTTTACATAATATAAACTCAATTACACCCATGGAACAAAATTACAATATCAAGGAGAAAAATTGTTTCATACATTTTAAAATCAACAATACTACAATTCTCGAAGCGTATTCAAATAGGAAAATCACCATTCACTTGCACTGTCAGATCAAATATATTATTCTAATCCTCCCAAAGTTAAATTGGTATATCTTAGGCTTTTTCAATACTGTGAACAGTCCTAATATTCAGATTCCTAATTTTTATCAGCTGAGTAACTGCCCTTTCAAAATTTTCATTCTTTTCTAATGATTTCTTTTAAAGTCATTATAATCTTTACCATGCTTTTCGCATTCTTTTTGTCAAACATGTTAAGTATATAATTACTTAATTTAATATTAATTGTAAAGAATTAAAAGCAAAGGGGGAAATTAGACGACAGATTAAATGCGAAATTTGATAACAGCGAGAAAATTAAAGTAATGGTATAAATGTTTTATTCATTTATCATTGCCAGTACAGCAGTATAGATTGGTCTTGCAAGTATTTATCTGTAACAGAAGAGGAATATAAACATGAAGACACTTTTGTCTTTATAATCCAAAGTAGCACTAAAATTTTCTCTGGTAATTTCAAAAATAGTTGTTTTTAAATTAATTTCAGTATAACCATTGTTAGTCAAGAGAAAATGCTGATATATTTTGCACACCATTTAATTTTTTAAAGATCCAAGTATTGAATATGAAAGCCGTTTCCGTTGTTATAACACTGAGCTTCCCTTGACCCAATCGTATTCGACTTTCTTCACAATCTCAATAATATGATTCATACAGTCTACTGCTGTTTTTTATTAATCAATTTCTTAAACCGTTCTTATTCTTTGCATCAAGTCAGCCTTATAGAGCGCGTGTTTAATTTTGTTGCATACATGCGGTTGCTTGTTGTGCAACACACAAATAAGTTTGCATGTGTTTAACTTGGAATCCGACGCATGTGCAAAGCTCAACTGTAACAATTGCACATTCAAAAAGTAGTTCTGTGTACACAAGACGCGCGCGTACACGGCGGATCATGTCTTTTCATTCGTTGTGGGTTTTATTTGGTACGTATAACGACGAGGAATAAACTACAATCGTTGCCCAAATTGTTTGCCGTAATATTATTATGGTCCTAATTATAATTCACAATATGCGTGCTTCTGGCTAATACACGCCAATAATTATAATACTTGCACTCTATACAACTTGTATGTTTGTCCATCTACGGTCATAGATATAAAAATAAGAATCTCGTCAAGAACACATAACGTCCGTTTACCAAGAAGGCATGATACAGATAAATTACCTTATTTCATTTCTTTTGCTTATTTTTCTGTTTTTCTGTACACTCTTTACAATACCACTTGCCAGGTGGTGGAGCTTTAAGATCTACACAGGCATAATGGAACCACTCGATTTCACACTCGTCATCGTCGCAAGCTACCATTTCGCCATAGCTCACTTGTTGACAATAGCAATACGTTGGCTCATTGGGATCTATAGGCATGTCTGTAGTTTGAACGTTATTCCTAAACGCATAGTAAGGGTGGTTTGTAAGCAATGTACGTTATCAGAATGAATGATTGCATTTAAAATATGGCACGACAAAGATTCAATCGACATTGAAGTGATTCATACTGTTTGTCTTTTGTTTTTCTTTGTCCCTTGTTACTGTCTTTTCGTGCTGCCTTCTTTGACTTATCGTTGCGCTCTTTATCATGACCGTTACGACCATTGCTCGGTGGCGGAGTACCATTATCTTTATGTTTACGCCCTAATATATTGACGGGATCACGTCAGTCTCGAAACACTAGCAAGACCAAAAGAAAAATATAAACTTACTCTTATTACTCGGCTGTTCTTGTGCTGCTAACAGTATAAAAAGTCAGCATAGGATAAGATAAGCAACAAGTTGCGATCAAGTTATATTTACTCTGTTGAGTTCGCTTATCACGTGATTCTTTCTTGTCCTTTTCTTTCTGTCCATTTTTTCGTGGTGTTTCGGGTGTTGACGTAATAGGTTGCGCTGTCGGAACTATTCTACCCGGTCCTGTCATCTGTTCGTCTTCGAATCTTTGCAAGTCATCGTCGAGTCTTCTTACGTGACGATCAACCTGATAGCGTATATATCCATTTCAATTTGTACACCAGGACGTCGAACGATCATAGCAAGCAACTAACTATACATACACAACGACAGGTAAACACCAAAAAAGCTCAAACCCAGTTACCGTCTTATATGTAGCCTGCGCCATGGCACACTTTTCTTCGGCATCCTTTAGACTTTCCGTTAAACAATCTGATAATTTCTTTAATTCAGCTATACGTTCCTCTGGTGTTATATGTTCGGCATTTTCCAGTAGATAAGCGGCCTGTTTAGCAACGACATTCATCGCCTCTGTTACGAAAGTCCAGAAAACAGATTAATGGACTTGGCAAAGCTTGGTAGCATTACATTTCAGTCAATGTGACCTACCTTCACAACGAGCATCAAGTTCTCGCATAAGAGAAAAGTTGCGCTGAAGCTCCGAAGGGAGAGACTCGATCGCTAGAGCGGACAGCAAGAAAAAATGAACGCTTGAAATAATGGTCAGACTACTTGAATCACCCGGGGGGCGACGTTATAACACTTACTGTCTACATAATCGTCCAAATATACAAGGTTATCTTTATCGGATCTACTGTCTAGCTTATCTATTTTGCTTCCTCTCTCTGACTTTTCTGCTTTATTTGAACCATTTGTTGGCATCGTTGTAGGTCTCATTGTTCTTAATATCAGTCTCTCTTAGTAACACTCCAAGTATAAGCAACATTAGCGGAAAAATTGTCGATTTTTATGACGCAAGAAAAATTTTGTTACACCACGAAGTTGCTTAATATTAAAAGCAAACTTTAGCGGAAATATTCACGGACGTATCAAAATTTTTGTTACACGAAGCTTAAAAGCAATCTTTTCTTACACATTCACATTAGTCGCGTAGGAAAGAAAGCGCATTTTCGTTCTTATTCGGCACATTATAATAATGTAACATGTCTTTTATATGATCTTGCACCTTTGAAAAACGTTAATTTGTAAGTTGGCTCAAGGCAACAGCTGTTTGATCTATTTTATAGGTCTGGTAGCGCTGTTCAACTTATTAATCCCAACTCGGAAGTCGCCCGACGGGGCCAGGCTCTGCAACTCAACATAACAGCAGCCATTGGTTTAAAAGATGTAATCAAGTCAAATCTAGGCCCGAAAGGAACAATAAAAATGTGAGTTACGCTCGCAATCCTGGCGTAGCCTTTGCTTCCTAGCAGCTTATTGTCATAATATATAGATCTTCACGTACCTTTTATTCAATTCAATGAATCGGCCGAATTTTACCTGATAGACAGAGTATGCAATGACCTTGACACCCGCTATAAATATGACGTTTAATTATGGCTGATTTCATCAAGTGCTGGTTTTTCCCATTATTGTATTGTGCTGACGGAAAATTCGTAATAAATAGGTTGGTGGATGGAGCGGGCAATATCAAACTTACCAAGGACGGAAAGGTGCTTTTAAGTGAGATGGTGAGTATCTCGCTGAAATAATAATAGGATTTAATTCTTTAATTAATAATCCATTCCGACAGCCTAAAATTAATCAAAAACATATCTCAGCAAATACAAAATCCCACGGCTGCTATGATAGCTCGTGCTGCTACCGCTCAAGATGAGATCACCGGAGATGGCACAACGTCTATCGTGCTGCTCGTTGGAGAACTAATGAGACAGTCGGAGAGATATATATCTGAAGGCCTGCATCCTCGAATTATCACAGAAGGGTTTGATCTTGCCCGGAAAGAAGCTTTAGAAGTAATATATAGGCTTTTTTTCTTTCTTTGTTCTCTGAGCATAACGTCTTCACTATAACCTATTGATGGGTTTTATTTTTTTTTTCAACACAGTTTCTTGATAAATTCAAAGTCGAACGTCCAATCGACCGCGAATTGTTGATCAATGTTGCTCGTACTTCTCTCCGTACCAAAGTTCACTCTACCCTTGCCGATGCGTTAACCGACGCTGTGGTTGATGCTGTATTGGCTATTAAACGTGAAGGAGAACCGATAGACTTGCATATGGTTGAGATTATGAAGATGCAACACAAGACAGCAATAGATTCAAGACTAATCCGTGGATTAGTAATGGATCATGGAGCGCGTCACCCCGATATGCCCAAGCGCGTTAAAGATGCATATATTTTGACTTTAAACGTTTCTTTGGAATATGAAAAAAGGTAAAAAGAAAAAAATCAACGACTTGTATTGTCGTTCTCACATTTAAAACTAAAATTCTGTACTTATTAAAACAGCGAGATTAATTCGGGATTTTTTTACTCGTCGGCTGAACAACGGGAAAAGCTGGTCGAATCGGAACGTAAATTTACTGATGAAAAAGTTAGAAAGATTGTTGAATTTAAGAAAGAGGTCGTTGGGGACTCGGGCAAAGGCTTTGTTGTGATTAATCAGAAGGGAATCGATCCATTGTCTTTGGATATCCTATGTAAAAATGGCATTCTGGCTCTAAGACGCGCTAAGAGAAGAAACATGGAAAGGTTAGTGATAGATATTCCATATAGTAATCAGTAAAGGGCAAATATTAACACGACGTATTGTACCTTTTTTTCCCCCATACATATCAGATTGCAACTTGTCTGCGGAGGTGTCGCCCAGAATTCAGTTGATGATCTTACGCCTGATGTGCTTGGCTATGCCGGGCTTGTATACGAACATGTTCTTGGAGAAGAAAAGTTTACTTTCGTGGAAGATGTCAAAGACCCTAAATCAGTTACTCTCCTAATAAAAGGTAAGCACATTATAGTGATCGCGTATTCATTCACGTTCACTAATCAAATGTGTGTGTGTTTTTTTAATAAATTTAGGCCCAAATGCCCACACTATTGCTCAGATTAATGATGCTGTTCGTGATGGTCTCCGAGCAGTCAAGAATGCAATAGAAGACGCTTCCGTAATTCCTGGCGCAGGTGCATTCCAAGTAGCTCTATCGGCTCACTTGACAAAGTATAAAGATGGTGTAAAAGGTCTTGCAAAAATGGGCGTCCAGGCATTTGGGGATGCGATGTTGATTATTCCCAAGATATTAGCGCAAAACGCTGGACATGAAGCACAAAAGACTATGGTGGCATTGCAGGTAAGAGCATAAGTTATAAGCAGAAGATTTGGTGTTAGTTTGGTATTCCTTTCTGACACGAAACCAATGGTTATCTCCCGCATAGGAGGAGCATGCTGAGGGCCATATTGTCGGCGTGGATCTGAAGACTGGAGAAACTCTTGATCCTGTTACGGAAGGCATCTGGGATAATTATCGGGTAGTGCGACATATGTTGCATTCATGGTATGTTAGTGGGATGTTAATCGTACGGTTCGATGTTGAGCTATATTTACCCACATTTTATTTCTCTATTTATTAGCTCTGTGATAGCCAGTAATTTCTTGCTGGTAGATGAAATGATGCGAGCTGGAAGATCAAGTCTAAAGAATGACAACGTTGGCAATTAATATTAAGATGGTTTTTTCGTAGTGATAGATCCCCTTTCCCCAAACTGTGCAGAGCTTTTGTTAACATGGGACTTTTGAGCATCGCGAATTCCCGTCATATATTTCTTTGATATGGTATACGTTACAGTTCCTTTTTATTTGCATAAAAGCAGACACATCCGTAAAGACAATTCTTATCAGAAATATTCGCTGATTGTTGGTCATGAATTTCTTTTCTGATGATGATATATTTTGCGGATCAAAAAAACACGCCTCTTTTCTGTGAAAGAACAGTGTTCTAATGGTGTTAGAATAGCTAGACAGTATATTAATATTGTTTAAATTTGTGCCTGTTATTATGATGCTGACGTTCACCCTAATATGAAAATAGTTCTCGTAAATGCACGCACGTGACACTTATGCATTAGTAGATACTCGCCATCCAAGTAAGCTGCCTTAATTCAACTCCCGGGCTGTCAAGTTGCCAAATGTGGCGTGATTTACTAAACTCGCATTGTACCGTTTAACTCAGGCCATAAATCAGCATATCAGACCATACATCAGAAAGAAATGTATATTAATCGTTATTTATTGACATCACGTGACATAAATACACAGTGCCGCTTATTGTGGAGACTAATTAAAATCGCGATATAGTGGATAGAGGTTCAAAACCGTCTATAATAAATTCTATCCGATATAGTGTATTTACTAATTAATTTTCAAAAACTCTCAATATAGTGGATTTTTGAGAATTTTTTGCTAATAGATTTTTTTGATACACTATAAAGAGAGTCACTGTGTACTCCCTAAATGCACGCTCAATTTTTCCGTTGTTCCTTAGATCTACACACAGATCCAAGTACCCCTTGGATCTCCATACAAAAAATATACTCCTTTAGATACACCCCCCCCCCCCCCCTTCATAGCAATCCGCCTTCTATGGGCTTTTATTCTCTTAATTTACAATGTAAAAGATAAAAACAGCTTAAACTGGGCTTTAACGATACAGTTCCAAGGGGCGTGCATTTAGGGAGAGTCAACTGTATTACGTAAAAATATCCAATGTTGTGTAACTTTAATTGCCCTTATTGTGATAGAAGAACCAGAACTGAATTTCTGAATGTATCATTACCGTTACAGAAAATGATAAGGGGTTACCAACTTGGTCTTTCAGCCAAGCTATTTATTGTTCTATATGCTTTGCATATATGTTTAGTAGTATGCATGTATCTGTAGGTAGGCGATAAAGTTCTAAATTGTAAAAAATTGATTTTTGTATACGGTAACGGTGCGGTGACATGATCGTTTATATCTGTCTTGTTTAATAGTCATTTCATTGCTTCCAAGTCTAATTAATTTACATAGGACTATTAAATACAGCGATAAGTAGAAATTAGTTATAAAGCAGCTTTTCCCAAGTTGCAAAGCTCGGCCTTATGTTCGAAGCTCGAGTTTTAATTCATGTCCTCTAATAAAAATCGAACTATAGTAATTATAATGGTTGAAATGAAATCCAACGTTTCCCCCTTCTTGTAAAATAAACATGATTTACCCTGCATCCCCCTGAAAATTGGCGTGTGGATTTAATAAAACTTTTATCTTATTGCAAGCATGATCTATTTTTAAATAATGATTGATCGTAGCCTATTGGAGAAACCCTTATCTGTAATATCTGTTGACTGTAAAAGAGAAACGCCCTAACAGTTGGTTGATAATGTCAGTGTGCGAATCATGTCACGTTAAAATGTTCTGAAATCACAATGTGAGATTTGCGTTTGAAAAATCTCATTCATTGTCCAGACGCTTCACAGTATTTATCTGTCTAAGTGCACCTTAACTGAAGTTGATCTTGTTAATTCGTCTTATAAATTGAGTTCATATTTAATAAACTACCTCTTGCAGCTCGAGACCCTACTTTATGGGCTGGCTTTTCTTTCAGTTGGTCGAAACATTGTGAAACAAATAGTATAATGATACTTGTCATTTCAAAGCTCGTTGATGTGCTTTGATGATAGTCGACGCCACGCCACAGAAAAGACGCTTTCAACAAACAATTCCGATTGTCAGAATTCTCAGACTCCATCTGAAACCATTACATAATAATAAGTGATAAAAACCGTTTATTTTTGATCATCTGTCCCACCATAAATATAAAGTTGGGGTGGGATCTGCCATATATATTATTGCGTGATCATTTTATTCATCTCGGCCTTGCCTTGTTTGAACCCCGACTTTCACTTGATCTAGCATTTGCACTAACGCTAAAACGCCATAGACTTAAAAAGAGAACCACATAATGGGCACGTATTATAAGGTACATACAGATGTGAGCGTAGCTACATACAGATGAAACCCGTTCAAACCAACGGGCCTGATTTGCTGATTTTGACCGGTTTGACCAAACTGGTTCGGGAAATTGTTTTATTGGAGAAGTTTCTAATTGATGAAAATTTGATGTAATCGTTAACCCGAGACTGGCCGGTTTAAACAGGGCTCGGTCGGTTCTACAATTAGTTGCCTTACATGTAAAAAATTACATTGTGTGACGTAGATAATGCTTGCGTGGGAAGAAAAGAGTATCGTCCGAAATGATGAAACACTGCAGGGAGAGCGTCATATCGATCAAAAGGCAAATTAAACCAAATAGTGCTTATTTCAATGCGACTAACTAAATAAACGAGGGAAGCATAAATAGCCACTGCGGAATCAAGCATTTATTGCTCCCATATAGTTACAATTGTGTCATGATCACTATCGTCATTTATGAAGAATCAGCAATTATAACACATGTATAACACAAATTTGGCTCGAAGAGTAAATTTAATGCGACAAACTGATAAACATAGATAGGAAGATTTGGCACAATACAACGTTAATATATTGTCAATTAGAAAAGATAGGAATAGGGTAAAAAAATTTTACAATTACGGAAGGTAACACACACCCTTTTGACGCAGTAAGTGACCATAATGTTTGTTATTTATAGTTCATTGGGTTTTTTACCACATTTGTAAAATTCACACGCGGGATAAAGGGTTCTGATTGTTTGTGCTGTGTTTGCTTAAAGATAAAGATGACGGTCATGGTATTTTGCTTACAAGAAGAATTTAAGTCTCAGTTGCGAGTGGCAGCTTAATATCACTAATCGATTATCTATATAAGCATTTTGTTATTCTTTGAACATGTATGAAGATTTATTGAAAGCATTTGTAGTTTGCCAAAAGGAGGGCCAGGCGGCGGAACAAATCGTGATCAATTTGTGTCTCCAATCGGATACATTCGCAATGTCTCAATTCATTATCTATCTCTGTGCAGATGATCTGCGGATCAATTGAAGTTCTCTATGATTTTGTATAATATCAGATCGTTGTTGATCTAATTCACGAGCGCATATTTTCTCAGGAGGTGATCTGTTACATGTTTTCTACTCAATTCATTTTGTGTCGCCAAGAAATCGCATAAAAAAAGCCGCTACGAACTAATGGCTCGACACATTTGTCATGGCTGTCGTATCCTTTACAACTATTTCTAAACATGACTACATTGTGCTGTGTCAACAAGGCACAAAAATACAAATAATAATAAACAAACCCACAGAAGACAACATACTCGCAATACTGGGAAATCTGGTTTTTTCCCGGAAACTTGTGTACCTCTCACGAGTCGTCTTCAATAACGTAATGATGCGGTTTCTTCCAGAAGCCGCGAGAAAACTGTTGTGGAAGGACAGCAAAATTAAACGTAAATTCAAAGGCTTTGTGGAGAAGGCGTTAAAGAAGAAAGGACTCTATGCATTTGACATGTCTCATGGTAAGCGTGAGTTACATCTTATCTATTATGTCAACGCAAGCAAGATCTGCGCTTTAGCTATTCTGGCATAAACAGAACGATTTATTCCACAGAAAACACAGAAATAGCACACGATATAAAAAGACGTTTTCTGTGCGCGTATATATGCTTCATTCATTAATTATCATTCATGTAGATCACAGCCCACAACTACGTAATAATGGTTCGCCCGTTCAGGACACGGAACAAGTAGCCCAAGTTGGTTACTCTCATGTCGACTTTGTGGGTAAGTTGTTGTCCAGCTCATACAACTTTTTCAAACTTTTCAGTTCACAAGACAAATTTATCAATGTAAATTCTCTTATTAATAAGACGATAATAATGATATGATCGGCACCATGTATACCGGTGAGTTTAGTCTTTTTAGCGGACTTTCACAATCGTGACGAAATATAGATTGAAGTAAAACTTTCATCACTCAACAAGTAGCCCAAGTCGGCTCTCAAGTTACTTCCGAACAGGGTAAGGCTTGAATTTTAGGTTAACTTTCAGCTCCTATCAAACGTTTAGATTGTGCTTTTGTTAATATTAATTATGGTGCAACTTTCCCATTACCTAACAACAGCAAATAGCGAATGGGATACGCCCGGAGACGCCACTGGTAATTATAATAGTAACGCATTTGCACTTTTCAGCTCTTATAAATATAAACTATTTAACGTAAATTCGTCTTATAATAAGACGAGTACAATATCATACCCGAAGATTACTCGTCAGTGTCTGCCGAACAGGATACGGGTAAGAGTTTGATTTTGTTTAGCAGACTTGAACTTATGTGGTTATTGATTGAAGTAAATCTCTATTACTTAACAAGTAGCTCAAGCTCGCTACCATCAATTTACGGATATTAATATGGGTAAGACTTTAAAGTTGATGATATTCAGCCCATATCACATGATTAATAATATGAATTTTGTTAATGCAACCATAATGCGTATGGTGTAGGCGTCGAATGGGATATGTCCACGGGTAATTATAATTATAATAGTAATAGCAACGCATTGCCTTCTTGTAGAGATAACTTATTAATGTTACTTTCTTATTCATAAAGACGCAAGCCATTATGACGGCGGTCCAACTATGCCTACCGAACAGGATACGGGTAAGAATTTCAAACTTGAGCTTGTACCAAACGCTTGGGAATATTTATTAAAGCAAATATCCATTATGTAGAACAAGCTTGCTACAATCAACAGGATATTAATCTGGGTAAGACTTTAAAGTTGATGATATTCAGCCCATATTACGTGTTTAATAATACGGATTTTGTTAATGCAACCACAATTTCTATGGTGTAGGCATCGAATGGGTTATGCCCATGGAAGATTATAACTGTAACGATAACGCATAGATTGCAGTAAAGTGTTTGAAGGATCTTATAAGGCCAAATTTTTTTAAGTTGCTGTTCAGATATGGTAGACGGGAGCACGCGTTTCTGTCGTTCAATTCACTACAAACACTAGCGATAAGCAGTAAGTTTTTTAAGGAATTCGAACCTCAAATGCTTTAGATACTTTGGCGATTGGTTAAATAAAGGAGATTTTAATATCAATCGCTTATTGTGAATATGCCACATGTTGATCGCGTGAATTTAAGCACGCTTTCAAAATGCGATCACAATCTGTAATTTAATGAGCCGATACAAAGTGCCGAAAATGTTTACTTTACCCACATCAAGCTTTTATTTCTAACCGTGTATATATAGCGCATCGGAAAAAAACATGAATTATCACGTTATGAGTCCAAATTGCAGATAAAGCCCTTGAGTCATATGCTAATTTCAGGGCCGGTATTGTCATGGTGTCATAACTATCGCGAGGAACTTTTATTCACAACAAGGCGCTCGCTAAAGTGCCAGTTTAGGCTGTTTTTATCTATCTACATTACATGCAGAGGAAGAGAATAAAAGCTCATGGAGGGGGGTTATTGAGGATCGGGGGAGATGTATCTATTTTTAGAGGTTTGAATGATCGTGATTGACTGTATTTTATTGGGGTAAATTCATGGGGTTTGTGGATTTATTTGTATGTCAGTGGAGCGGAGGAAGAGGATACGTCCTAGGAGAATGTCTTCATGGTATGGGGTGGTATTGTGCCCGAAGGCCCTCGAAGTAAAGGCACTCCAGAGAGTGGACTGGAGCTAAGTCATGGTGTCATAACATAGTACCCTTAGCCATGGCGAAAAGATACCTTGTAGTGATACAACAAAAGTGTGAAATTTGTTTACCTTTACAAATATGGCACGCGATTTGTTTACTGTATCACATCGGCTCTACATCCAAACCTTTTTTTTTCCGCCATGGCTAGGTTACTAGTCATAACGATAACTTTTGTGCTGGTCTATTACCGTGTTTTGATATGTTTGATGAAAAGTACGTGTATGGTATATAATATACTTTTTGGGCTTCAGAAGCAGTTAATAGAAACCTTTCAGGTTAGTTTTTGCTTGTCTAGTAGAGAACAATAAAAAATAAATGTATTTAACAAAAAATGTTCTATGTAGGTCTCCGCTCGAAAGAAAATATACTCCGTTTGATACCGGTAAAACCGTCCCATTATCGACTAATTCCAATAATAACAGTATGGGATGCAATATGCCTTCTTTGGACGTGCCATATCCGTCGGCCTACCAAGAGATGTCATTTCAAGACCAGAAATCATGTCTTGTCGAGATGTTGGAACTCCTGGCCGACAAAAGTATAATTATGGAGATGGATACGAAAGGACGGAAGAGAAATATTGTAAGAAATGAATGAGTAAAAACTTTTGGTGAACAGAAGTTTTTGACAGTTTGGCCCAAGTTCGAGCAGAATTAAGTAACCGTACCGGGAGCCTCACAGTCCCAACTTTAAGCATTTCTCTGTTTTTTAACATTCTATTTAGGTTGGAGATAAGGTGGATAAGTTTATCTCTGAAATCACGAATTTGCCAAGGCTTTGGTAAACTGTATTTGCTCTCGGTTCATATTTGGGGCGTCGATTCGCTGTGGAAGAACACTAACACGACGAATGGGAACAATAATTTACAACCGCAACAAACTAGCGACAATGTCGAGAGTGAAATAAATACCGGTATTACAGTGGTGCCATTCGAATGTTGTCCGGGGAACTGCTCCGAATCGGTACCTTGGCGGGCACCACATGGACGACAGAAAGTCCGAAGTCGTCTTATATACCCGGACAATCACTCTGTTGGAGGGAGATTACTCTTCCGTGTTTCAAGTGGCAAAGGGTGGTTGGTGAAGGTTATGAATCGCATGGGTGTTGCTCATGAGATTGCAAGTGATCGTCATCGTGTTGCATCATTTATAGGTATTGAGATCCAACCTCCAGATAATTTTACAAACTATATGGAGCAGGTTAAATGGTATGGTTTCGATCACGTCATTATTATTGGTAAGCCTTATTGTGGAATCCTTTTTCTGGACTGCTATGGTCGAATTTTTGAATGGGATTCCATGGATCTTTTGTTATGATCTAGGAATAGTGAATGAATTCAATAATTAATAATAGTAATAATGATAGTAAAGAAGAACGAAATTGATTTGCACCAGTGACCAAAGAATAGGTTATACTCATCAATGGCTTTGGGTCTGAGTATTTTCCTCACATGCAATCACTCTGGTGCATTTAGTATTATTTATATTTTCAATAATTAAAATAATAAAATTTATGCTTACAAAAATCGAATTATTTTTACATGTTAGCCTTTCATACGCATGTATTAATATGTATTACAAGCATATGATTTTATTTTCCAATGATAGGAATGAGATAAACAAATCCGCAGATATTCTTATATTTAGATCTATACTTTTGTTATTATATTAACGAAACGGTGACAAATTTGTCACGATCATACTATGTATTTATAGTTAAGATGTAATATAAACACGGTGAAGGTACGATGATTTTTTTTCTTATAAATAGTTGATCGTCTAATATGGATCGCTGTCCTGACTAATTGACGAAAGAAGAAATCGAAATGCAGAGTATTATAACAATCCCGGCAGTTGCAGGGTAGACTTTTGGAATAGTATTACAAATACGATCAACGAACGAATTGGGACCACATATACAGGATAACAATGTAATAATAGATTTCAGAATCTTGTTAGAGATTACAACGTAAGCGTTAAAGCTATATACTATTTCAACTATGACATTCCACATGATAGTGGAGCCCTTTTTTTCCTCCTTATCTCTCGGAAAAAAGATGTATACATATTTCTATGTCTCTCTGACTATACATCTGGCTTCGATTGAGAAGTCACGAGAAGATAAAAGTACAAACAATAATCGGTATAGAAGCAAGCCCGCTTTTGTTGACGTCCAGTAATTATAATAAACTGTCAGTATTACACTGTCGAATTCATGCGCGCAAATGTATTCAACGAGAACTCCTTTATTTGCAAATGTATTTGAGACAAGTATGCGAGGAGGAAACATAGGCATGTACTGTAAGAGCTTTACAGCTGCGTATGCGTACTATTAGGAGACGCATATTTTTAACAGAGTCACTGATAAGTCGTTTTGGCCTAAAGTCAGTAAATTCTTGATAATCAGTTTCACGTGTCAATTTGTCAATTTAATTGGTGGACCACACCCGATTAATGGCCCTACTTATAATCGAATAACACAGTCTATGTTGTCAGGAATGGAAGATTTACAACGTCAGATAAGAAAAAACAAGTTGAGTTTTTAAGACTAAGCTAGTCTGCAAGAGTATTTTGTATATTAAAAAGTATTTAATCATAAACGGTTTAATTCAATGTATTATATTCGATCACATAATTTTCGATAAGTCGGCAGGTATCGTATGAGACAGACTGTGTAATACGTTATTTCTACCGTAATTTGACTGTTAATTTTACTAACATTACAAATTCTTTTATTCAATTGGATAAAGATTACTAAACCAACAGTTTAACCCTTCGATGCTCATAAATGGTGGAAGTAGTGAACGGATAGAGCAAGAGTTGCTTATAGATTGTTTAACGTAGTTGCATGCTGCATGACGTCCAGTGTAACATTTCTAATTCTTAACTTTGGTCATGAATCCAATGTTGGATTGGGGAAGAAAGAAGAAGAAGATAAAAAGATTAGTACATCGATAACTATAATATTAATAATATAAAAAAGAGATTTAAATCTGCACCCACCAGAGTGACCAAAGAATAGGTTATACTCATTAATGGTTTGGGCCTGAGTATATTTTTCTATGCAATCACTGTGTTGCTCTATCGTTATTCATATTTCAAACTACTTTAGGTTAAATTTTTATATGTACATGCCCAACTAAGTTCCATACGAAACATCTGCCTAAAAGTGGGGCTGATCGTCCCATTACATTCACAACGACTATATCTGACAAAAAAAAATGAAGAATTTACTATTGAAGAAATTGCGTTAGTCACACAGCGATGCAGGGTGAGCAACCCATCCGCTCAATTTGTACTTGTGCGACAAAGCTATAAATAAATTATACAGATTTATCTGAATGTCCCTGCAACTAATCATTTTATCTAAAAAATCGAGAAATTAAACCAAAATTAGTCGATTGGGATTGAGCCAACTGTGACCAAACGATGCTATTATTATAAATAAGTGCAGTCCCACCGAACCTATTTTGTCAAAATTTTTGATCCAGTTTGGGAATTTTTGATATTTGTGTTGCCTTTGAGGACTATAAATAAACCTCAGTTTGTAAGCTTCTATGTTACCACAATGGCTGATAAAATTACTTTTACGATAGAACAAAAGGGATACACTCTCCGTCAGCAAGCATTCATAAAAAGGCCTACCGGGGATGAAATACTTGAATCAGGTCTCTTGCAAGAGGGGAACCGCAATCCGAGAAAAATATTTGAACAGCTAATCACGACGGCTGCGAATAATCTTGGAAAAGCTTTATGGCGTGACCCAAAAATCAAAGCCGAATTCAAAAGTATTGTACAACGACGCTTTAAAAGATAAGGGAATGCCTCGTATTGTCCACGACAGACTGAGTTATAGCTCAGAAACAGGTAAGCTTGAGTTACATGTTTAGAATAATTATGTCAATACAAGGTCAGCGATTTTGTGTCTATCATGTAGATCACAGCCAACTACGTGATGATTACTCGCTTATTGACGTCACGGGTAAGCCTTTATAACGTTAAAATGTTGATTAAAATAAAATTTTCGTTTCTGAACAAGTAACCCAAGTTGGCTACTCTCAAGTTACTTCCGAACAGGGTAAGGCTTGAATTTTAGGTTAACGTTCAGCTCCTATCAAACGTTTAGATTGTGCTTTTGTTAATATTAATTATGGTGCAACTTTCCCATTACCTAACAACAGCAAATAGCGAATGGGATACGCCCGGAGACGCCACTGGTAATTATAATAGTAACGCATTTGCACTTTTCAGCTCTTATAAATATAAACTATTTAACGGAAATTTGTCTTACAATAAGATGACTACAATATCATACCCGAAAATTACTCGTCAGTGTCTGCTGAACAGGATACGGGTAAGAGTTTGATTTTTTTAGCAGACTATTAAATTTTTAGGTTGTTAATCTCTATTACTCAACAAGTAGCTCAAGCTTACTACCATCAATTTACGCCTGAACAGGGTAAGACTTTTAAGTTGATAATATTTAGCTCATATCACATGTTTAATTGTTAATAATCAACCACAATGTGCATGGTGTAGGCGTCGAATTGGTTGTGCCCATGGGCAATTATAATCACGATTGTAATAGCAACGCATTGCACTTTTTTCAGCTCTTATAAAAATTACTTATTAATGTTAATTTTTTTATTTATAAAGACGCACTCTATTATAACGGCGGTCCAACTTACTCGCCTATGCCTACCGAACAGCATGCGGGTAAGAGTTTCAACCTGAGCTTGTACCAAACGCTTGGGAATATTTATTAAAGCAAATATCCATTACGCTAGAACAAGCTTGCTACAATCAATTTCCACCTGAACAGGATATTAATCTGGGTAAGACTAAAGTTGATGATATTCAGCCCATATTACGTGTTTAATAATAGGAATTTTGTTAATTCAATTAACCACAATTTCTATGGTATAGGCATCGAATTGACTATACCCATGGGTAATTATAATTATAATAATAATAGCCATGCATTGCGTTCGATAACTTGTTAATGTCAATTTTCCTTATTCACAAGACGCAAGCTATCATAACTACGGCCAAGTTTACTCGCCTACGCCTGTCGAACAGAATATGGGTAAAGTTTCAGACTTGAGCTTATATCAAACGCTTAGGAAAAGTTATTAAAGTAAATTTTCATTACTCAACCACGAATAGCTCAAGCTGGCTACCATCAATTTGCGCCCGAACATGATACTAATATGGGTAGGACTTTCAAGTTGATGATATTCAGCTCATACCATTGTTTAGAAGCGTGATTAGAAGTATCGAGTATTAATGCAATTTTATCATTACCTGGGCGTAGATGACGAATGGCAAGTTTTTCAAGGTCCGGTAGTTATGACAGTAACGGATTTGTATTTGCCTATGACCAGCTTTAAGTGATTTGTAAGATATAAATTCTGTTTCATACCAATTATTGTGAGCAAATATATAAAACAAAATCGAATTAATTTTCTATTTTATTCTTTTTTTAAAATAATAAGATCATTGTGAAATCGAAAACGAAATCGAAAAACTCTGTCAACCGATGGAATTAACCTCGTCTAATTTTTCCATTCCCGATGGTCATGAATCTTGGTTTTGCTGCCTGCCCAAGATATCTATTTATATTTGAAATCCGAAAGATTACAGTTCATAATATTTTAAACTTTGGTTACATTTTATCACTCAAATACAATCAATGATAAAATTAACAAATATTATAAAGCTGGTGATGAAATATTCCAATTACTTCTTTTTTGTTAACAACCGGAAATACTTTTTTGAGTTTTTTTATTAATAAAAACATATCTTCTCGAGGTAACCATTTCTTAAATATCTCTAACAACACATGCGTAACGGCTTGAATGATGTAAAAAAGATTATTCTTTATCTCTTGGGGGCACAGAACATGCTGTGTAACTGCTTCATGTAAAGGCTTTTTTTATTTAAAAAGCAACACGAAAACACCGTTGCATTACCCAATACGTGTATATACTTTTACTTCTACAACAGCTAATACTGTACATTTGTCATTACTATTTGCGATCTGGAAAAAGACAATGCGAGGATAATGATCGGAGCGTTGAGCTTTGATCTTTTCGAGCTCACTTTGAACAGCCTTGATGCATTTGGGCGTACTTTTTGAGCTGCCTTGATGCGTGAGGCCGTTATACCAGTTTGCTGAGTGGAAGTCTAACATAAAATTGTACTCGTTATTATTATACGAGCGAATGGCTTTCCGCATCTAAAGGCAAGCGGCTCGGGCTTTGACGTTCCGGCATTTTCAATTCTCTCTCCAATGCGTTTAATTATTTTAACTATTGAGGTTTAGAACAGCCGTCTCACAGTAAGAATGCGCTTGATGTCAACCGTTAATAGTCATTATCGTATGGACCACACTTTGCTTCCTTCGTTGATGTCAACTCCATTATCGTATATGCTAGTCTTCATTGATTATTGATTTGGACTGAAGCAGCAATAATAAGATTTATTATTCTTTTACAAATCATGGTATTTGGATTTAACAAGTTTAAGATAAAGTTTTATGCTCATTATAATCGTAGCTCGCTTCTTCAAGATCGTCAACCCCTACATACGTGTATTAGTGATAAACCACTAATATAGTTCCAATCAGCTTCATCTACATTGATAACTACGTGTACAGTAATAATATTGTTGTTTCCGCGTGACAAATGTAATCACTCAAATTTATCAGCAATTTTTCTAAGCAATGGTGTTGTGTACTGCCATCTCAATCTGATACCACTTTTTTTTCAAAGCGTGATAACAGGGTACCAGAGCCTCTTCTGAAAAAATCTTTAATGCCGCCAGTGTTCCACCATAATTGTAAAAATACGCAATTGCTAAAGGATATAATAATGAAATTTGTCTACTTACCGTCATTCGAGCCCTTATACGGCCTACCAAATCATCAAGATTGAATTCGGGGTTTAACAAAACGTTCTGGAAATTATCATTATCTAAAGAAATTTATTTGGCAAGAAATTCCTGTTCTTCTTATCTGATCTTTATCTCTCGTTTTGATTTGTACTTTGTTCAATGTATTTGCGGATAAACTTTCTGCCTGTCTCCATTCAACTTGTAATCGCTCAAATTTATCTTATAACTTTATGAGTGCTTCTTCTAATTCTGATTGTTGCAATTGCAGTTGTCGTTCTGATTCTGCTTGTCTTAGTTGCAGTCTTTAATTCTGACAACCTTTTATTGTTTTTGGCTCGAACTAAAACTGAAAGTATTGCAAAGAAAAGTAATAATATGACGTTAACATTAAATAGATGGACATACTTTCAACGGTTTCCGCGCTTTGCGACGATGGAGAATATCCCAGTGTTGCAAATATGCCTAAGTGGGCGGTTTTGTGTCGCAATATCTACATTCTTCAAAGTTAGTTTTTCTTATTAAAGAACACAAACCAAAACAAATAAACTTATAAGCTCCCATCCATTTCAGCATCAAAAAAATTGCTATTGTAATTCGCCATGTTACTATTATACTTGGGCATTATAGCAGTATTAAAAAACACATAACTGATATGAATTGGTCTCCCAAAGTTATATCCAAAATTTTTCACTATAAAGGGATGTAGGACATCGAAAAAACTTTGTTATGATCAAATTTTATCGTATCCAGGTTCATCGTGCATTCATTGCGTAACCGAAGAGTATTGCAGATACCGTGTAACTGTTTAAATTATGTACTTTACATCATAACGTTTATTTTCAAAATAGCACATGTTGTTAGTGTCAAACGTACAGGCGTTAAATGTAATTTAAAACTTATCCTATAGCATCGCCGTAATGCATTGTTACACGTACTTTTAAAAGCAGTCAGGTGCGTTTGGACAGCTCGGTCATGGTTTATAGTAGACGGGTTACTCAGAATAAAATAGCATACGTTATGGATGAGAAACTAATTTACTGCATATTCGAGTTTATTCCTTTTATTGTTGTATAGTCTCATATTGCATAACGTAAAAAGTTTTGTATTGTTTTCCAGTGATATAATACATGCACGCTGTTGAGATCACAAATAACCGATCCTAAGAAAGCTTTTTTTTTTCGCATCAGAAACCAAATTATCTTAGACACTACCACTTTTATTCGACAGAGAATTTGAGAAACAATCGTTAGGTCTTCTTGGTGAACTGCATCACCATCCTATGTTCCCAGCGAACGAGATGTATGATGTATATTCTTTATTCACTTTTGTTACAGGAGGTTTAAAAGCTTTAAGATCGCTTTTTCTTGGCCTGGTTAGTTTCAATGAGTCATGTCGATCACTGATTTTCAGGGACGCATGCAGGGAAATCATGTTTATTTTAAGTTTTCCTACCGCAATATTGTAGTTCAATAAAAATATGTAAATTCGAACTTCCCCAGAAAGACCGTCCCATGGGGGACATGCTGAGATATGTCTAACGATCTGACGCTTAGAGCGCAAACTTCATTAACAGAATATATTATCGATAAAATTTCCCGTATCACTAAATTTATGCATAGTAATATGTTCTGGTCCGTTGTCTAATATCAGCTCAAAGTTAATACTTCAGTAAGCGAAATAAATGTACTGGATAATCGACGGACAAATTTTCACCCATCTCTGCCTAAATATTTAAAATGTGATTGTAAAACAGGGTGATTTCTTACAAACCAAGACAAATGACATTATTATTATTTGGTACACAAAATCAGCCTAAAATAAAACTATGCAAGTCGCTCGTAACAGCGACTAACCCCCTAGAATTTCTTGCCGCATTACTCGACTACTTGATACCAGTAATCATTTATTACAGACATTATTCCCACAAAGTGCGCCGAGATGAACACCCTTGAAACATTAAGGATCTTCAAGAGGGCATACATAAATGTTATAAATAATCGAATCGATCCTTTATCTTTGGTCAATGGGATCCTGTGTGACAGTTAACTGGATAAATACGGAGCAAGTTGTCATGAAGTTTAATATACCCGTTTTTATCGAATTCAGTCTACAATACAAGTTATGCATTTATAAAGGACTCTTATTCGATTAGCACACCCGTTACCTAATAGTTTCAGCATTCTTGGCCGACATGGCTACCTTCAGTCCTCGTCCATCTGGTGATGGGTACCGTCTCTGTCGTCCTGATCAAAATGCAGTGTTGATAATGAAGTTACCTCGGGCGCATCTGATTCACAATATAGAGCTTAAAGGAAACTCCCGTGATGCCAAAAATATCTTCGCCGAAACGATCCGCCAGGGCATGAAACATGAAGGACTCGGAGAGGAGGCTGTCACTGACCTCATAAATTTCCTGTGGAAAAAAAAAGCGATTAAACAGGAATTTAAAGAAACAGCCAACAGCCTTAAGACGTTTATAAGAACTAACAGCGAGGCTAGTATTGTCTTGGACGAACGAGTTTCCGCTCGACAAAATACTTTGGAAGCAGGTAAGAAGCACTTTTTGATTTTCAGTAAATCATTACAAGTTCAGACAAGGATCCGATTTAGTCTACTCTGGATTTTTAACATTTTCACGTTTATGTTCATTACCTAAGAAGTCGATTATAACGGGCCACTTCCGCCGCCTTTTGTTCGTCACTCATCGGTCATTGGTAAGCATTTGCGTCTTCTAGCAGACTTCAGTTCATATCATACGTTCAGGAACATTGATTAAACGTAAATCTCAAACAAATAGACCCATCTAGCGAAGAGACTATAGGTAAAGCATTTGGATTTCAGCTCATTCGAGATAAAACTTGCCAAGTTCAGACAAGGATCCGATTTAGTCTACTCTGGATTTTTAACATTTTCACGTTTATGTTCATTACCTAAGAAGT